GGTAAGCTGTTTTCTATGCATGGTTTTGCCAGCTTCAGTGACAACTTGATGCTTCAAAGCTGCCTTCACCTCTCACATAACGCTCTTGTTGTTGACCACAGGATGTTGAGTGCAGATTTTTACATGTTGTGGTGCTGCTGAGCCTGAAAGTTAATCTATCTTGTGCCAGATTTCTGTGTGTGTGTGGATGAGAAATACATCACACCAGTATGAGTTTTATCTTGGTAATATGTTCCTACTCTTATGCTATCTATTCCTTAGTAGTATTATCTGTGACTATTTTCTTTCTGTAACTTGGCAAAAACAGTCCCTTATAGCTTTACCTGGTCTCAGCCATAATGATTATAATCTTTGGAATATATATGGTTTGTTGGGTGGTTTGTTGTTTTGTGGTTTTTTTTTTTGTGTTTTTGTTGTTGTTTTGTGGTGTTGTTTATTTTGTTGGGTTTTTTTAAGTATCAAATGGGGAGACTTTATGGTTTACCTAAAGATCTCCACCAAGTGACTCTTTAAAGCAGAGATTGTGAGGGAAGGAAGGATCATTTAACTAACTTTTATTCTGCAGTCAGCTAGGAGTTAAAGAGCAGTAATTGCTACCAATTGTAAGCAATCAGATGAGCAAACCTGCAGTCTAATTTTAAAGTACCCTTACACTTGCTATACTTCCAGTTGCTTCCGTGTTAATAATACAAGCTAATGAATAACTTCAAATGCATGAGAAAAGTGAGCCTTGGATGAGATCTGTGTTTGCCAATGAGTCTTGATAGGCATCTTGCTCTAATTTCTACCCTGTATACTCAAACAAATGTGTGTTCCTTTACAGAATGTTGTTGTGGTGCTAATTTTCATTGATAGTATTTTACGTATTCTCTGAAAATAAATATATATAGCAAATTAAAAGTGGAGATGTCAAAATTTACTGAAGATATGGTAATTTTACAGGTAACTGTTCGGCATAGTTTTCCTATTGAATTGTATGCTAGTAGGGAGGGGGAAAAAAAAGGAATTGCTTCACTTTGATAAAGCAGAATAAAGTTTTATAGCCAGTATTTAGAAGAAAATATTTTTTCTCCTCTCACGGCTATGAGGTTATTAAGTGTGCAGAATATCATGTGAGAGGAATTTGAGGAGTACTCTTGTACTGACAGTACTAGTTTTCTTCCACTAACTGAGCGTTTCTAGTTAGTGAGCTTTCATGTTGTTTCTTCTTTAATCCTTTCATCCTATATTGTAAGGACTATTTTAAGTTTTGGAAGATCTTTTGGACTCTGTATTTTTGATAGTAACTGCTGTATGAAATATCTTAAAGAATATTCTTGGATGTTTTTGTTTCTTAGCATCTTTTGCATTTAGTCATGTGGTTGGTTGTTGACCCTGACTTAGTGAACAGTGATTTAAGTGTACAATCATCTGCTGACCTTTGGAATACTTCTACAAGCTATCTGTGCCTGCTTTTAGTTTTCCTTAAGTGTTAATTTTAAAATAAAAATAGCATGGTAGAATAGGCTTTTTAGTCTGGTTTCCGAAGAAATAATTTGCGTCATAATTATTTGTAGTGTCAGTTTTCCTTCTTTCTAGTAACTTATTGCTGCTTTCATTTGAATTGTCAGGGTGGGGGGTGCGGATCTGATAGATAATATTTGTAGAAAATTATGTAAAATGGATGACTGGACTGGGAGGAAGAAAGCTTAGAAGGGCCTGCCCTTGTAGGACAGTTGCAGCATGAGTTTGTAAGTTATAAAGCTTCCTTAAAAAGCACCGTTGTTTTCTCTGCTTCACACCTTTTTCCCCCGTTCTCTGTCCGTTCATAAATTAATTTTAAGAATTTTTGAGTGCTCCAGGAGAATAGTTAAAAGTAGAAGAAAAATTAAACAGTTTACAGAAGAGAGATGCTTTCTGGTAAAACAGTAAGTCTTGTTGTGGATAAGTAGATGACAAATCTACTTAAGGACAAGTGTATTTTGTACTTGCATGCCACTGTGTAAAATCTAGTTGGCTGTCATGACAAACATTTACTATCATAAATGCGGTACCATGCCTTTATTACACAACTGGAAAACAGAATTATGACATTCACAAGTTTGACCTCTGTTAGTACTTCTCTAAAGTGTTACAGCTTTTTACAGTGGTTACATTTTCCCTTTCCTGTTTGATGCTTTTTGTTTTCACCAGCATTTTCAGTCTTCTGGTTCTTTTCCTTTTGATTTCTATCTTTATCATGTATGACAGTAATTAGATTTTACAAAGAAGATAGAGAAATTTAGTGTCTTGAGTGTCATGTGTGCGTGGTGGGTTTTTTTGGTTGGTTGTTTTAAAGGTTCTTTTAAATTTTGAAATGCTTAATGAAATGCTGCATTCTATATTTTGGATACCTCAAAAGAACTTACATCCTGTTTAAAAATAGTGTGGATGTAACATGAAATCTTCACATTGGGAAGAACAACATTCTGTCAGAGTAAAGTGTTATTCACTTCTCAAGAAACAGAAGGTAGTGTTTCAGTGTTGAAACCTAGGGTTTTTTTGGCAGCAACAACATTGGAAGCTCACTATCAGTGCTTGAAGTAGGCTGCACACTGTTTTGAAAGCATGTTATGTGCCTTGTGGAGATCAAGTGAAGAGGCGGGTTGAATGTCCTCTGCATATCTATATCTAAACGAACTAGTGTTCCTTTTAGCCTTCTATGCCATTCTATGAAAGTGTAATGAGCTGAATTGGGTATTGGAACTGATTATTTTATAACTGAAAACCCAGAAGCAGCACATATGATACATGGGTTGTCTGTCTGAGGGTTGGGAGAACTAGGGACTTCAAAAGAAGAAAGAAAAAAAGAACTTTTAAAGTCCTGTGTGTAACTATAGTCTCCCTCATGAGTTTTGCCTAGGTGTTCGCCCCAAAATATGTCCTTATCTTTAATACCCTGTGAGTCCTACCACTCTGGGTTTAGTCTTCCTCTTTTTTTTTTTTTTTTTTAGATCTGGTGACAAATAGTCATGTGCTGTAATATCTGAGGAATATGATAAGGATATAGAGCAAACAAATTAGGAATACATGTTCCCATTTAAGCTGATTGGAAATTAAGTGTTTCCTGGGTAAACAAATCTCTGTAGTCTTGTCATTAGCTGTATGAAAACATTTAAACTGGATTTTTGCTTCCAAAAATAAGCCCTTTAGAGTTAACAGTGCATGGTATAGCTGTTGGTTAGTGGGGAAAACTAGCATTTCTGTAATTTTTTTTCCCCAGAACTTTTCACAAAACAAAACCTTGTATATTTAAGCAAATGCCCCAAAACAGACTTATGTTCTTTGTCTTTGCTAAGTTACAATCTGTACATTTTGTTGGTAAAGTTGACTGTGAAGTTAAGTGTATGGTGTTCTGTAAGGGAGTGGGAAGGGCAGATGATGCTGATGCCCTGCACTTACCAGAGTCCGGACTGGTACTGTGCTGCTACTGACACTGGAAATGTGGATTTTGTTTTTTTCTTTTTGTTCAAAAGATCACTGAAAATGCCTGTATGCCATGAAAATAACTTGAGTAGTGAGTAACCAGGAGTATAGCTGGGAGGGTGGTTGGTTTTTTTCCTTGCTGTGTTTAAAAATGGCCATGCCCTCCTCCCTCCCTGCGTTGTGAACATTTCCCATATTTGAAAACTGAAGATTTGCCTTGGCTACAGTTTTATTATTGTTGGGAGCTGGCATATCATAACAACCTCTGTTGAGCAATATAATGAGTGGGTAGTCCTGTGTCAGCTGAAGTGAGTCTCAGCAACTGTGTTCAGTTACAGTAACTCTTGGGTAGAATAGTCCAGTGTAATCTAAATGCTTGGTTTGTTAAGGTAACGCTTTTCATAGTAATACCATATTTTCCTTGCAGGAAAGTTCCAAATCTGATTATCTGGTTTCTTGATTGAGCTTCAGATGCGAGGACACTTATTACTAGGCTTTTTTAAAAAACAAAACAAAAGCAAACAACACAAACAAAACTGGAGGAAAGGCTCAATTCAAATAAGCTAGAAATACAGAAATACAGTGTAAAAGATCAGGCTTGGAAATGCAGTTAAACTTTGCACTCTCTAGGAGGGCGGACTTCTCCCTAGCTCTTTTTTTTTTTTTTTTTAAATACTAAGAGTTGAAGAATAGGTTCAGGACAGTTATATACGAGCTTATTTCAAGGCTTTAAATATCATATAACTTTTACTGTTGTTTATTATCCGATAAATACTGTTATTTCAGAACTTTGATGCTCTTTCAGGGAAGGGATTCCATTGCCAGGTGATCTGAATCATAGTGATCCATTAGGAAAGCAAACTTCTAACAAGCTTGACAGATCAAAGCAGGTGATAAGCAGGAAAGGGGAAAAAAAAGGCTGTTAGAGAATTAAGGCAGATGGAAAATAGAACTAATCTGCTTTTAAAACAAAACAAACCACTGACCTACTAGAAAGAAAATTAGAGTATTGTACCTATGCCTGATTGGTTTAGCAGGCAAACGGTTTCTGAAAGAAGATAGAATACAAATATTTTGGTCTGTACTGCGTGAATCAGTAAACAGAGGTAGCTTATATAGTGTTTTGGTGAATTTTGGCTTAATGCATCTGGGTTTTATTTCTTTATAAATTTTTGTGGTGTTGGAGTCAGAAGATACTGAAAACTAAAAATGAAAGCTTAAATAATTTTTAGTGTTACAATAAAGTTCTGACTCTTAATCACTTGCTGAGGAAAGATTTGTTCTTTATCACTAAAGTCACATGAAAAATTGTTCCCTTTTTTGGTCTATGAGACTCCTAAAGCGACCTTTTAAGATGTACATGTTAAGGTTTGTGCACTTTAATTGCTTATAAGCATGTATTTATGTATTAACACGTGTGAAATATTATTAATCTTAGTGTTAAAAAGTTTAGAACAGGCAATGCGTATTTAACAGTTTGATGCTTATGTTTTACTATCAGTAGGTTCCTGATGGATGTGACTTTCACATGTACAACTTGTTTTTTCTTCCTCCAGATTTGAAGAACAGAAGCATGCTTTCCACTGAGACTTACACTACCATTTGTGATACAGAATGTCTCTAAGTGAGAAGAATAGTGTGGTTTTTGCATATGAATCTTCAGTACACAGTACCAATGTACTTCTCAGTCTTGATGATCAGAGAAAGCAAGATATTCTTTGTGATGTTACTATTTTAGTGGAAGATCAGCGATTCCGGGCTCACAAAGCTGTGCTTGCAGCTTGCAGCAGTTACTTCCTTTCAAGAATTGTGGGCCAGGTGGATGCTGATCTTATCATCACTTTACCGGAAGAGGTGAGTGTCACTCCCTTCTGTACTTTACCTGCCAGTGCTTATCATCTGTTTTGTTCAATTCTGTTTTACAGTAGGCTCCTGCTTAACTGAGATGTTGAGGTGAGGGATTTAAGAACTGAAGGGAAGGAATTTCAAAGCTTTAAAGCTGCCATTGGTTGAGGTAAAAGCTAGGCAGGTCAGAGTGTATATCACAGACTGAAGATAAATGAATGCTGTCTTGGGGAATGTGTAGGGGAGATCTGTTCAACATGTGTACTTCTAAAACTGTGCACCTATTTCAAAGCATGTAAGTTTGTCAAAAAACAGACTTTAAATGGTAAAGAGGTATTGCAGAACTAGTCCTCTTATATGAAAAGAGAATACTTTGGAGTAATAAAGAAACAAATTAAAATGGTAATACCTTTAAATCACTATCTTTAAGATTTGGTTTCCTATGTTTGAGTAGTACAACTGTGCTTATATTCTTTGCTTGCTTCTTACTGTTGTTATTTTTTTTCTGCTCAGTTCCCCATCCTTTTTGCACACTGATCATTAGCAGCTTGATTTATTTTTCTGCTGTGTTTTATTTTAAGACTGAGAAAATGTATTGCAATTACTTGCTTTCTTTTTATGTGTAAATTACATATTCTTAAATTGGATTGAATTTAGAGCATTTGGTGGGAATGAGCCGGAACCTGACGTCCGTAGGAAAGAAGATTTATTATTGCATATTTAGGGTGTCTAAGACATTTCATAGAACCAAAATGTTTTGGGTTGGAAGAGACCTTTAAAGGTCATCCAGTCCAACTCCCTTGCAGGGGAGCAGGGACATCTTCAGCTAGATTAGTTTGCTCAGAGCCCTGTACAGCCTTCCACAGATGGGGCTTCTGCCACCTCTCTAAGCAACCTGTTCCAGTGGTTTCCCACCCTCATTGTAAAAAATTTCATCCTTGTATCTAGTCTAAATCTACCCTGTTTAGTTTAAAACCATTACCCCTAGTCCTGTCACAACAGGCCCTGCTAAAAAGGTAGTCCCCATTTTTCTCATAGACCCCCTTTAAATACCGGAAGGCCGCTATAAGGTCTCCCTGGAGCCTTCTCTCTCCAGGCTGAACAACCCCAACTCTCAGCCTGCCATCGTAGGAAAAGTGTTCCTGTTCTCTGATCGCTTTTGTGGCCCTCCTCTGGACTCCCTCCAACAGGTCCATGCCTTGTGCTGAGGACTCTAGAGCTGGATGCAGTACTGCAGGTGGTGTCTCACCAGAGCGGAGTAGAATCACTTCTCTCAACCTGCTGGCCACACTTGTTTTGATGCAGCCCGGGATATGGTTGGCCTTGTGGGCTGCAAGTGCCCATTGCCAGCTCACATCCAGGTTTTCAGCCACCAGCACCCTCAAGTCCTTCTCAGGGCTGCTCTCAATCCCTTCATCCACCAGCCTGTATTGATACCAGGGATTGCCCCAACCCAGGTGCAGGACCTTGTATTTGATCTTGTTGAACCTCCTGAGGTTCACACAGGCCCACTTCTCAAGCTTGTCCAGGTCCCTATAGATGCCATCCCATCCCTCAGATGTGTCAACCGCACCACTCAGCTTGGTGTCATCTGCAAACTTGCTGAGAGTGCGCTTGATCGCACTATGTCACTGATGAAGATAATGAACAGCACCGGTCCTAGTATGGACCATGAGGGACACCACTCATCACCGATCTCCATCTGGACATCGAGCTGTTGACCACTACCCTCTGGATGTGGCCATCCAACCAATTCCTCACCCACCGAACAGTCCACCTATCAGATCCATGTTTCAGATTTAAAGAAAATGATGTTGGTGGGGACAGTGTCAAAGGCCTTGCAGAAGTCCAGGTAGATGACATCCATAGCTCTTCCCTTGTGCACTGATGTAGTCACTCCATCATGAAAGGCCACAAGGTTGGTCAGGCAGGATTTAAAGATTCTAGCTGGTATTTTCTTAAGTTATAAGAGGCATGAGGCAAGCAAGTGGCTGGATTTTTATATGAAGTGCTGTGGTTGTAGATGAAAAGTGAAGAGCCTTCAAGTGCTCTCATTGTAGCAGTAATCTGAAGAGTTCATTGTTAAATAATCAATGGCTTTCTGGGTGATAGTTTATGGTAATTAGCTTTGGGGGTGGGAAATAACATGCAAATTGTTGGCAACTCAACTAGAATCATTAAAGTTGGAGGTGTGCATCAATGACTATATTGACGTTGGAGACTGACTACATTATAGACTTGTTTATGTACAAGACTAAGTTGAGTGTTAACTCGAGTGTTAACTGAGATAATGTATTCAGAAAGCCTGTACTTCAGTAAAGTAGCTACCTCCCTGGCTTTGTAATGTACTGAGATAAGCACAAGACTTCTCTGTTACTGGAATCTTTCTGATTTTATAGAAAATAGAAGACTAAAAGGAATCAAGTGGTTACTTTAAAGAGCTTTAATATTCTTTGCTGTTCTCTGTTGATCAGTGAATTTGTTACAGAATTGTTACAGTGTAATACCACTATGTCAGTTTTACTCAGCCTTCTTACTGTGGCTGGGTGTTCATTTCTTCTTATACCTTTTTTTTTTTTCCTAGTGGCTTAATACATTGATAGCCTGAACTCAGATTAACACTCAGATTAAAAGAAAGAGTGATGAGAGCTGATGTGGAAGGGAAGTAGGATGCTGAGGGACACAAAACCATGGTTTGGAGTAAAAGAGGGAAATTAGTAGCCTGTAAAGCTTCTGATGTTGAAGAGGGAATTTTGCTTTGGAATGACGGAAGAAATAGGATATTGGAGGAATAAGAAGTATACGTCAAAGTTGGAGAGGGAAAAGATAATCTCTGGTGCAAAGCAACAGATGAACCCATGCAATAAACCTGAGTTAGAAGGGACTGGATTTTATAAAGAAAATGGAGGAACATAATCCTGATATTTACTGTAGTGTAGACTTAAGATGATTCTTAATGTAACTTAGTATTATTGATGTAAGAACTGAATCTACTGAATCAACCAGCAAAAATACTAACAGTGAATCTCATCTTCTAATCACTCATCTGATAACTTAGTTGGTAAAAGCATTTTAAGACTCAGCAACTTGAGCATCTCTTCTGGGAACTGCTAAATACTTTGAAATGAGTCAGTTGATAAAGCTGCCTATTTGAGAGAGGCAAACATTGATCACATGGTTTGACATGTGATTTTTTTTTTAAGCTTTTTAATTATCCAAAGCATTTGAAGTTTAAGATGAAAGACACCAGTCCACAATGTGAGATGCCAAAATATTTTTGGAATTAAAGTACTTCGTATATATTATATTGCAAAAACTAGCTACTGACATCTTGGTGTAGGCTCTATGTTGGTTTTCTACCAAGGTTTTTACTCTGAGTTAGACTTCCAGCCCAAATATGAATTAAATAAATTTTTACTGCAAGAGTTGCTTTTCTAGGTCAGTCAGACCAAGAGTCTTTCTAGTGTTCTATCTTGTTTGAGGATAGCCAGCTAGAAATGTGTAAGAGAGCGTGAAAGGCATGCAGAGTGGTTTTTTTTTCCCCCTCTTGATCCTTCAGGTTTTTAGCAGTGTTTTGCCCTTATATAGAAAGAATATTCGGTTTTGAAATACCATTGTATTTGTTTTGTTCAGTTTGTTCAGTATGAATGTCACTTGTTTGTAAACCCACTTTAATGATTTATTGACTATAGTAAGTTTGAAGACTTCTTGCCAGCTTATGGGTAAACTGTCTTTTGCACTCTCCTTCCCCAGGTTATTAAGGGTGAATTAATGTGGTAGGGTAATCGGTTGTCTTCTCTCCAGAGCATATTTCAAACGCTATTTTAAGAATTCTTTAGGTAGGTCATAAGAGTTCAGAGAGTCTCTGTGCGGATCTTTTCAACTGCCTTTCATGTGCTGTTTATGTGTTCTTTATAAAAAAACCACCAAACAAGCACTAAAAAAAACCCCAACAAACCCTCAACTGATTCCTACATTAAATTGCATGTACAGTTAACTATCTTGCTGGCAGAAGAATTCAGTATAACTAATGCATTAATGTAGCACTTTATTCAGCATCAAGTCCTGTTCATTTCCAGAAAGGAGGGGAGCAGAATGTGGGCTTGGCTTTGGGTAGTAATAATGGACATATTGCTTATCCGTCACTTGCAGAGGCAGGCTAAAGGAAGTGTTGTGTAATTTGTAATATGGTGATCTGTTTACAGCTTTCTGCCTGATTCCTTAGTGTTTTTTCATGCATAGCAATTGATCTTGTTCAATTTGTAATGATACAGTTTTTGTTCATCTCTGGATTCCCTGATAGGCAGCTGTTCTGCAGTAAAAACTGAAATGGTAATGGTGCAAATGTTCAATTAAAGCTACCTGCTCCAAAGAGGCTTTAAACTGAGAATAATCAGTTTTGGTGTACAGTTTTTGGGCACAATTCTCCTCATCTATGGGAAGAAGAAAGGAGAAGGCGGCTATAGTAATAAATAATCATGTGTGGTAAAATTCTGTTTTGTTCAAACTCTTTTATATCTATGGTGGATGAGACTAAACAAATAGTTTAGCAATTACTCTTTAAAGGAACAATTAAATAGCAGCAGCATTTAGATCTTATTCTATAGTAATCCATGTACAACTTGGGTCTGAAAAAATCTTTGTGAAGTTGGAAACCAGTTACAGTTTTCAGTGTAAAGCAGTATTTTTCACTTGTTAGTACTGTATTGTCAGAACATCTTAAGAGATTGATCACAGTGAAGAATAGAATTGCCACAAAATATACAGGATAAAATCGTATCAGAAAACTTGTTTCAGAATAAGTGTGGCTGGGTTTTCTCTGTGGAACAAATCTACTGCTTTTGTCTTGTGCTCTGTCCTGCTGGCATGGTTTGCTCACAGGTAAATTTGGTTTCTGTGTGTTTCTATTTAAACCTATATTGACCGTACTATTTTTTTCTTTAATAGGTGACACTTAAAGGATTTAGTCCTTTGCTTCAGTTTGCGTACACATCTAAACTTATTTTAAATAAAGACAATGTCTCTGAAGTTTGCAAATGTGCTGAATTTTTGGGTGTACACAACATTGAAGAGTCTTGCTTTCAGTTTCTCAAATTCAAATTTTTGGACTTGAAATTGGATCAGCAAGAATGTCCTAGGAAGAAGTACTGTACACAGCGTTGTCAGAAAACAAACCCTAAAATTGGCAGTGTGGATGATGGAGACCTAGAAGTAGATGATGAAGCAGAAGAACTTTCAGAAAAGGAATGTATTCAAACTCCTGACGCAAAGCATTGTAAAGATGAAGAGAATGCTAAATCATTGCCTGTTCTCCAAGATAATGCCAATCAAACGTGTGATCCTGTACATTTAGAAAGGGGTAGTGTTTCCAGCTTATCTTCCCAATGCCCAAAGTATAGGAAATTCCAGAAAGCTTTTGGAAATGACAAAGTTCATACTTCAGAGTCCAATTCCAGTATTAAAGACATTCAGGTGCCACCAATTGCAACTTTTCTTAAGAAGGAAGTATCTGATAATGATGGCATACAAAAAGCTCAGGAGTGTGTACCTATGCAGCTGGTCTCAAAATGTGAAGAGACTCAGGTAAAAATGGAAGAAGGGCAGGAAGACATTGAGAAAAAAGAAGAGTCAAAGAGAGAATCTGTGACTCGGAATGTGTCGTGTCCTATGGAGAAAATGGATCTTGTTGCTTTCCCCCAAAACTCTGCTGCACCTCATGGACTCAATTCTGTGTCTTTTTTACAAACTTGTGAGCAATATGGTAACTTGAATTTCAGTAGTATGCAAAACAACACAGTCTTAGCTGAAAAAACTGTGACAGGTACTGGAGTTGCGAATGACAAAATTGAAGGTCAAGATGACTCACCTTCAAAGGTCGATTTGTGCACTAGGGAAGCCACTAGCATTACATCAGCTGGTGATCGAAGCAGCGTGGAGAGAGAGGTGGCAGAACATCTGGCAAAAGGGTTCTGGAGTGATATTTACAGCACAGAAGCCTGTCAAATACATTTACCACCTGCAGCGCCAAAAGAGTGCTTGGAGCCAGTATATTCGGGGAAAAAATCAGAGTGTCCGTGGCTGGGTATCAGGATCAGTGAAAGCCCTGAACCTTGCTCTCAGCGAACTTTTACAACATTGAGTTCTGTCAACTGCCCCTTTATAAGCAACCTTAGTACTGAAGGATGCTCCAACAGCTCTGAAATAAGCGGTGGAGATTATGTCCAGGGACAGCAACAAGAACAGTGTCCCTATAATTATGTGATAAGTTTGGGAGAGGATTCGGAAACTGACACTGAGGGAGACAGTGAATCCTGTTCAGCGAGAGAACAGGAATGTGAGGTAAGAACATCCTGGTGTATCCTTTGCTTCCCTGTCTTTTAAGGCCCTGTTCAAAAACCTAATTCTGAGTCTCCTGGGTTTGGGTTTTTTTTTTGTGGTCGAGTGTTTTGAAAATCTGTGAAATAAAACTTTAAATAACTGTTCAAAGGTTTATGTGGAATATCACTGTTAATTCAGGGATACTTATATTTTTTGGTAGGATATTGAAGTGGTAGATGCTTAGGTATTAGATCTTTTCAGATATTCTTCTGGAACAACTTTATCAGAAAAGGTTGACACTCTTAAACCAAGGCATGGGAGTTCTTTTTAGATTTTTTTATTTGATCTACCTCAGTTAAACTCTAAACTTCTTAGAACCTTTGTTTTATAGAAACGTAACAGTTTTCTTGGTTTTATTTTGACTTCTGGGGAGAAGGTGGGAGAGAAATAATATTTCAGAGTTACTGTCAAATGGAAATTAAGTTTTCAAGCTGGCTTCAAGCTGTATGTTTAGGACTGCTTCAATAGCATTGCCTTCCCTAAAACTGAGGTTTATTTGTTCCTCTGGTTGCAGAAATTATTTGGCACTTCATTCCTTTGTCATTGCTTTAGTAGTGTTTTAGGCAGATGCCATACGTAAGTAGTCTAATCCCAAAAGATTTTACTGTATACCTAGAATGATTTCTGTCACAGTTCTCAGAATTGTAGAATTGCAGTGTGACTCTGTGTATGATGGATCATTTAATGTAATGAAAATTCAGTTGTTTTTAAAGCACTAAGGTTTTTTCCTTTTCAAGATGCAAGGCCTTATTGAGACTTAAGTGGAAGCTACTAGCAATACAGAAAGTTGGCAGTCCAAACAAAAGGCCAGAGTTGGTTAAATACATTCATTGTCTTTACATTACAGAGAAATAGTTGGTCTCATTGCTGAGGGCAATACTCTGTCCTTTTTTTTTTTTTTGCCTGCTTGTAGCCAAACACAGAAAGGGTTCCTCTGGTTTTTTTTAAAATTAAGTTCAGATCTTGACCACAGCAAGGTAACATATCCTTCTATTTGATGTCCTCAAACATAAGGATTAAAATAAAGTGTCTCTTGTTGGATACTTAATAAAATGTGGCAATTACTCTGTAAAGGTAAAGATGTTTTCCAGTATTAATCAGGACTTTGTGATCTGTATGTGTTTCAGAAGCTCCTGCTTCTGTAGCTCAGGTGTACAGACAGTAGCAAGAGCCTGGTTCTCTTCAGCATTAAGAATTACAAGAATTACTCTAACTTCTATATTTTAAGTAAATGCCTGTTTCAGTTGAACTTTTCCTGCAGAAAACTATAGGTGTAAAAATATATGCAGGACACAGTTACTAGCAGCTTAGGGGAAATGTGTTAGTGATTCTTGACACGTTTTGCATATCACCTAATTGTTTGCTGCCCACACGACTAGATTTCATCCTACTCGGGATATGCGTTTGAGGATCTAGTGTAAATGTGCAAAGTACTCAGTTATGTCATCCGTGCTTGAACTCATCTAGTTGAAACCCCTGGGTTCTATCCACCTCACCTGACGGCTACATTAGCTTGCTCTTGGCTCTGAGATTTGGGAAGAAAGATGGGATTGTGTGGTAAAGAATGCTTAAAATGAGAACTTGAATTGGTCTTTGTGTATATCCATGTCACGTTTGATTTACAACTTTATCTTACGTTCTAGGTAAAACTGCCATTTAATGCACAAAGGATTATCTCACTTTCCAGAAATGACTTCCAGTCATTTCTGAAAAGGCATAAATTAACTCCTGAACAATTGGACTGTATTCATGATATCCGAAGACGAAGTAAAAATAGAATTGCAGCACAGCGATGTCGTAAGAGAAAACTTGACTGCATACAAAATCTTGAATCTGAAATTGAAAAACTGGTACGTATAAATATTCATTACTGTTGACTTGAGTCTTTCTCTAAACAACTCGACTGGACATCTGGCAGTAGTAAACCACCTCACTCTCAAACTACTTTTTCCACTCAAGCTTAGAAAACTATATCAGTCTTAGATGACTTCTTGATAGCAGTTCTGCATTTTCTGTACTTTAAAAGTACGTGCCTTTTTCCTTCTGTGGACTTGTCTCCATTCAAGTAAAAGTGTATCACAGCATAATTTTTGGTGAGTGATGTTTCTGAAGCCCATCAGCATTGAGCTTAGTTGTACAGAATGATTCCCAAACCATCATTCCATTCTACTTTTTAGTTTTCTGCCTCTTTCCCCTTTCTTGCTTTGTGCTTTTGTTCTTCAGCTCGTGGTATTGCTCATGATCAAGTTTACAGTTATGCAATTGTTAGTTGTGTAAGTATTGTTCTTGTGACATATCAACAAAGGCTGGTGAACCTTAGAAATTAGACCCTGGCAGAAAGGCAGAAGATACAGCAGAACTCGGGAAGCTGCTCACCTTTTTAGCAGTTGTATTTGGATTGTAGCTGAGGAATTAGTGCGTCCAGATTTCTCTGCAACTATCTGTTATTATAATTTCTCCTTCTTAAAAGGCAATAAAAAGATAAATATGTAACTGAAGAGAAACGTGGATAATCTGAAGTTTTCCTGACAGGAAAATAGTGTCTTTTTTCTGGTCTTTGTTTCTGACCCTCTTCATCTCAGTTTCATAGTTGATTGTACCGTGTGCACTAAATAATTCAGTCATTCAAGGTTACTGTACTCTTCACTCTTGTTTATGGGGCATTTTAGACTTTGTGTTTATGTACATGAATTTGGTATTGGCATCAGCTGGGAACACGTGCAGTCGTGCTGCAGCTTTCTTCTTACAAATTCAGTGTGAAAAGGAAAATAAAATCAGAGCAAAGTGCCATGGCCTAGAAAGTTGTTTTCCTGAAGTGGTCCATCATCTTTCACTACATGCACTTCTGCAACAAAGGAGATGGACTTTAAAGGAAGGCCTGCGATGCCACACAACCATGTTGAGTTGACAGGGTAAGTCATTCAGTGTGCTGAGTGACGAAGATACTCAGGGAGGGAGGGGAATCAGGTGATCATGTTAATAACGGTTACATTATTCTGACTAAAGAGAGAAGTTGCATTTTTGACAGTTCTGACCTTTCTGCCTGGTTTTGGTGTCATATTATCATTCCTGTTTGTTATGTAACTTTGTCAATGTTGTGCATCACTGGGGGTGGGTGGGGGGGGGAATGAGAGATTCACCTGCAAGTAATAATTAAGTGACTGATAATCATAGTATAATATCCTTTCTTCTGTGGACTGTGCTAGAACAGATGAATGTCTGCTGAATGTATCACTGCAAGGTCTAGACAATGTGTTGAGAATTGTGAGGCGAGGTGTGAGTTATGAATCATGCTCTAGGCACAGACATGTTCCAGTTGCTTATTTTTTCCAACTGTGCAGGTAAGTTTCTTCAAAACTTCCTGAAAAGACTTTGTCTGGGGCTGTTGAACATGTCTGACAGCAACTGATGTTATGCACCATCAAACTTGTATAAGTCGTGCACAAATATAGAAACCTCAAGATTTGTCTAGGCATAATTTCCAAGGTGGGTGGAAGAAAAGAGACATCTGTGAAAGGCCTTGTGTGGTACATCCAGGTTGCTTCATACATGATGACTCCTGCATCGTTCCTGCTTTTCTGGGTCAGTTGTGTGTCTCAGACCTGTTTAGTCTTTGATCTTCTCATTGTATCCTCTGTAATGTGGCTTTGAGAGAGGATAATATGGTGTAGCTCTAGTTTGAAAACTCTTGACAAGTAGATAATAGTCTGTACTATAGCCTGTTAGGAAATACTATTTAGTTAAATTCCTCATACTGCCTTCCAGTATGTGTAGCAAGTTGTCTTGTATTAATTTCTATTTGTTGTTGTTTATTAGGTTTTTGCTCTCTTGGATTAAAAGGTAGTATTTGTGGTGTGTTTCTTGGGGAAGTCCTATATATGGAACAGACTAACCCCCTGCATGAGTAAAGGCTGGAAACCGACTGGCTGGGGAGTAGCTTTGCTGAAAAGGACCTTGGGAGGTCTGGGCAGACAGCAAGTTGAGCATGGGTCAGCAGTGTGTCTGGGCTGAAAAAAGGGCCATCAGTGTTCTGGGCTATTTTAACAGGAGCACAGCCAGTGGTTCAAGGGCAGAGAGTGTGCTCCTGTACTTAGCACGTGTAAGACTGAATCTTTTGCCTGGTTTTGACCTCTCCCAGTGCCAGAAGTACATTGACAAACTGGAGAAAGGCTAGGAGAAGGCCCACTGGGATGGTCAGGGCTGGAATACTCCTATGGTGAGAGATGGGAAATGGGTTGTCTTCTTGGGGAAGAGATGGCTGTGGGGAGACGTAGTAGCCTCCTGCCCGTATCTGTGGGGAAGTCCTCAAGATCATGTAGCCGTTGGGAGTGGAAGATCCTCGGCTTCCCAGGGGGTGGTACTTCACAGCAGGAGAAAAATTGGAGGATTCAACCGGATATAAGGAAACACTTTTTTCCAATGTGCGCAGACGGGCAATGGGGCAGGTTACCCAGAGAGGCTGTGCATGCTCTATCCTTGAAGGTTTTCATGATTTAACTGAGCAAAGGCCTGATCTTACCCAGAGCTGGGCTTGTTTTGAGCAGGAGGTTGGACTACAGACTTCCTGAGGTACCTTCCTACACAAGTGATTCTGTAAAATTGAAAGTCTTATGTTAAGCTCTATTTATAGAAGAAAATATTTGATACTGAATCTGTTACCTGGGGAGAATTAAGTTTGGTCATTTCTCTTACTCTTCTGTACTGATATTGTCATTTTTGACCCCTAGTAGTCTTTCAGGTGAACCTACGTGTTCTTGTTGTTCACTAATGTTCCATATTTGAGAATACATGTGGGCCACTCAAGGAGATGTCGGCTTGTTGGAAATAGCTCTTTCAGAGCACCTGTGTTGATTCACATGCCTTGTACTTTCTTGCTTCTAAGCTTTAAAATGAGAGTACTTGTGAGGGGGAGCGGAGTAAAGGACAACTGGTGTCAAGAAGCACTGCTTCCCTGAAGATTCTGTAGCTCAGGAGGAGGATGTGTCAGTGAGCGACTTACTGTAAGCTGTGGTCCAAGAAATGTAATTGGCATCCTGTTATATATACTATAATAGGGAGAGGAAGTGTGTGTACTAAATAAATTCTTCACCAGAAGAGTTAAAAGAGCTCGCAGTTTGATTATTATGACCTCAAAACTAGCTGGCATTAGCTTGCAGTATTAGTATAATGCTGCTAAAATAAAACGATAATATTTAAATGTATTAATCACAGATCTGTCAACTTCAGACAGGGGCGGGGAATTCAGTATTTCTGAATATTGAAGTTTGTGTTAAACAGTTGTCCAGATAATTTCATCGGTCCATGATACTCAGCTGAGTGCCTCTACCTACCCAAACTGTACCTGAAGTGGTTTCAGATTAGGAGATCTGGAACAGCTGCTCTCAGTATGCTGACAAGTAGAAGTTTATTAGCAAAGCACTTCTAATCATTTTAGGCAAAAAAGACTGGCAACAACTGCTTCTTTTAAAATGACACTTAAAGTTAGTCCTTTCAAAAAGAAGTTGTAGAGGTTGCAGTATGAGTTTCTCCTGCAAAAGTGAATGTGGGAAGGACTGAAAATAATTAAAATTTCTGGGAGTGAATCGATTTAGCAATAGTGATAACATGATCCCTATGATTAAAATTTATTTCTTAAAAATATTTAAAGCTTCAGAACTCTACCTATTAATTAATTATAGAACTCAAAATGTGTGGCATGTTTGGTTTTTAGGGGTTTTTTCCATCTGCTTCATTAGTCTTGCTTGTTTCCTGTCCTTCTTAGCCATTTCCTCATTTTTATTTTTCCTGGATGTTGCTTGTTTTCATCTTTAGACCAGCCCATCAGTTGTCCATGTCCTCTCATCTTCAGTCAGTTGTATCAGAAGTGTCACAAAAATTCATGACACCGAAGTAAAACAAAAGAAAAATCCCACAAAACAAATGAAGCAAGCTAATTTTTACTGAATGGTACTTTTTTCTGTTTGATATTTGTTAGTGAATTGTCATCCCTTTTGCTGCCCGTGTTTGGAAAATCCATTTGCATTCTGTAGCTAGATTGTAAGCTCTTCAGAGCAAGGACAGTCTTATTTCATGTCTGAGTGGTATCTGCCACTCTTAAGCATGTTTGCTGTGTAAGTAAAACTCAAGCATTCAGCTGGTATTCTCCTGTTCCGATAGTAGGTTACCTACCTAGTGGCATCTCAGTTCTTGTCTCTTCAGTTCGCTGATCTTTCACTTGACTCTAAATTCTGTAACTTCCAGTGTTCTGGTTGGTGCCTTGAAACAAACAGGAGCGCTTCATTTCCAGTGAAAATATTTCGTTCACGATTTTAGCATGTTTAATTTCTTTAATTTGCCTATATTTTCTATTTACTTTAGAAACTCTTCTTAACTCCATTGTTTGTTCTACAGTGCACTTGGCACTTAAGAAATTAACTTATTTTCATCTAGCAGAGTAGCATCAATAGTGAAAATTTGATGACTGGTTCTCAACATTTAACTTTAAAGTATGAATCTCTGTGAAGACTGCTCTGCTTAATGTTTTATTGACCCAGTGGTAGTGGTTTAAATGTTACCCTGTAGAATTAGTGTTTCCAGAACGTTTACGGTAAGTGAAGCTAGGTTTCATTTATTAAATAACTACAAATTACTGTTTTGGCTGCCAGCACAGGTTTTGAAAAAGTTGTATGTCTCAAAAATCACTTCAAAAAGTGAAGTTGATGACACTTGAAGAGAGGTTAGGATTGTCCTTCTGGTAGGCCTATGATTGTGTTGGTGTTTACCTTCTTACTGCCAAATTGCTTCTGTTTCAGCAAACCAGATTATTTACAGTCTTTTTTAGCTTTGTTAGGAACATAACAAACTGTAGGTTTTGTGTTAAAATGCAGACTAAAAGGCCTTTTTTCTTCTTGCAGCAAAATGAGAAGGAGAACTTGCTGAAGGAAAGAAACCACATTTTGTCAACTCTGGGTGAGACAAAGCAGAATCTGGCTGGACTTTGCCAGCAGGTGTGTAAGGAAGCAGCCTTGAGTCACGAGCAAATACAAATACTTGCAAAATACTCTTCTTCAGATTGCCCGCTTTTGCTTTTATTCCCGGAGAGAGACCGAACAGCTCCATCTGATAGTGAGCCTGTGATACCAACTTTTATAGAATTAGCAGATGGCCTTTCAGGTGTTACAACTACAAATGAGCAGAGCTCTTGCTATCAGTGTGTGAAAAGTGTGTGTGATGCAACATACAATCAAGTACAAGAGCTGCATCCCGTTTCTTCAAGAACATTAGAGAAAACTTCGCTTGTGGAACAGTGTGGACAGAGCGGTGGTATCGCAGACTTCTGTCAGCAAATGACTGACAAGTGCACTACAGATGAGTGAATCTATTTTCTTCCTATTGCCAGCCTCTCAACATTCTGCCTCTCTCTGCAACTAAAAGTGAGATTGAGTATTATTGTAAAGTGACTTACTAAGTGAAAGGAAAGATGAAACTTTATCTTTTGAAACTACATTGACAATTAGATGGTCATTATATTACTTGGCGAGCTTTGGGTTTGCTCTGTGTAGTTCTAGAGTGTAGTTTGTACGCGTCTGCCTTGGAGCTTTTTCTGTGTGGTGATGCCAAGGAGAGTTCAGGAAAGTCGTTGGAAAGTGTAAACTCTGTGCACAGATGTTTATTTGTTGGAAGTTTTCATTCAGGTATAGAGCAGCCTTCACTCTGATTTATGCCACAGTACCTAATGCCATTCTGCATCTCAAGAGCAGTCTCCTGACAGGTGTTTATGCACAACCACTTCTATACCTGGAATTCTTATCTCTCTCAGATTTCTTTTTTCCTGGTAGACAAACCTTAGGAAGCAATTATATTTCTGTGAATGTTTATTTTGTAGATGGCTTAGGATAACAGTATGAGAAGATCCTGGTGCGTGTGCTCTGGAATAGTTCATTGCTTCCTGCTGTTCCCATCCCTGTACCAGAGCCAGCTTTTATTGACTATATGCCTTAGTCTTAGCTCTCCAGTACATAGTTAAGGTAACTGGAACAGCGGAGGTGTTGCACCATACTGCTCTCTTCTCTAAATTTTGTGGGAGCCATAACAACGTACTGGGAAAGGCCGAAGTTTGAAACTGATGCAATTCTTTGATTAGTGTGCATCTGATCCTATGGCATCGGTATCCCATATGCTTGTTAAAATTCATTGCTGTATTGTGACTTACCTTCAAGCTTGCAGCTGTTTGTGATAAGTTGGAGTCAAAGTATTGTGAAAGTGTGAGGACAGTTTAAAGTTTTTAAGGTGTTCAGGCACCGAATTCTTCAACTTCAGTGCCTAATTGCCTGAAGTAATCTGCAATGTATTTCTTCTCTGATCAGTGGGACCAGTAAAGATCTATTTCAAAATTTTAGTCTTCAGGATACTTTTATGGCTAAACCTTTGTATATTTTCAGTGGCTTGTGGTCTAAGTATAAACATGTAGAAAGTGTAATAAGGAAATGAGCTGGAGGAATTTCCTTTACTTCGTGAAGGAGAAATTCAGCCACTGAAAACAATCCCCATTTTTAAGATTTTTATGTGGCAGTAGATGCATATTGTATACCAATAATGCTTTGTTGTTTAGATGTTATTCTCACACCAGGACTAAGTATTGAACCTCACCACAGAAAACTTTGGGTTTGCTGGTTTACAAAACATGAAGAATCTTGTACAAGCCAGTGGAATTCTTCATTTCCTACCTCAGAATGTATATTAGCTTTTTGTCTCTTGTGTGCATGTACAGTAGGCGGCAAGTAAGCAAAGGACTGTTGTAAATACTGCTTTTTTGTCTTGCAGTGAGACAGAACTTGTTCTTGGCAAGTCTCTTCCCCCTCCCCCCCCCGGTAACCTAGCATTAATAAATGTATTAAGACTATTAAGCCACTTATTTAAATCAAAATTAAAAAATTTGACAGATTTCAAAAGTACTTTTCGTAACCAGCACGTAATAGAAGTGACTACACTACCTCACCTGTGGGATTGAAAGTTGATCTAAATCTCTAGTGATATCCTTGGATTTTCATCATATATCATTACTTTTTTAAGGGGAAAAATTATGTTAATGGAGCATAGCTTGTATAAATCACAGTGCTTGCAGTAATTGAAATTCAGAAATAAATACTATATGGCAGACATGATGAGAGTTCTACTGCTTTGGATATATTTTCAGATAATTGAAATTCTTTTAAATGACTACCATTTATATATGTTGATCCTGTATATGTATTACTCATGAAGCTCGCTGGGATTTTTCTCCAGCGTCTGTCTATGCCTGGTTAATTTAATCCTGCCTTCCTGCTGTGCTGCCACCCTGGGCAGTGTTTTCTTCCTAAGTCCCCATTCTATTTAAAAAGCAAACAAACAAGAATCCATTAAAAAACCAAAACAGAAACCCCCAAACCTCTCTGCTGTCCATACATAATATCACTTTTAAAGCTGGTGATACTCTGAAATGACGTGGATAATGACGTTAAAGCATTGTCCTAATAGTACCCGTACTCTGAAACAGAATTCCCTGGGTTACATATTTGTTGTAAAGAGGTGGAACATATCTGTAGAGAATGGCTGGCTGGGAACTTAAACATATCCACTGGCCCAAACCTCGACCATGCTTGGCTATGGATGTTGGAAAATAAGGTCAGTGATTCCCAAGTTCAGAGGCTAGAATATCCACCGAAGAGTTGTGCTCTACTGCTGTGGTCTGGTGGTCAGCCAGGGTCTGAATTCCACTCAACAAATGCTGCAGGGCTTCCAGTGCAGAAATCACAGCTCTCATTGACATATGATAAAACTCATGTCATGTTTTTAAACCTATGATGAACTTGATGAAGTTTGAGGGTAGGTTTTTGCCTAACCAGCTGCATCTAAATAATTTTTAAAATATTTATTTAATACATTAGACCTACAAGTTGCATGTTGACTTCTATAGCCTAAGTCATCAACTTGGAAAAGTGAAGAATGAATGAAAATTTTATCATACAGAATTCTCAGGTAAATGTTTTGGAGTTCGGTTGGTGGGTTTTTTTTTTTCAGTAAAGAAATACTCAATTTTGAAATTGTAAAATACTTTGTTAAAGCATGTTTTAAAATACTTTGGACAGACTGTCTTAAAGCCATATGAGTATGATGGCATACAGATTGTAAAATAAACAGATAATTACAACAGTTGATTTTGTATCTTTCATAATTCAGTATTTTCTAAGACTACAATAAAAACCACTATCCTTTCTACAAAGGCTTTTCTTTTTTTGTACAAATCTTTTGCAGTGAGTCTTTACTGGTGTGTTATTAGCTTATGTAGTGCTACTAAAACATTTCTGAAAACAGTAGCAAAGTTGCCTATATAGAATCATAGAATGGTTTAGTTTATAAGTTCCTGAATAATACACACACAGTAGCAAATACCACTGAGCTGGAATAAATTTCCTGTAAGTTTATTTGACTTTTGTGTCTTGTACTGTTTGAGTGGGTTTTCTTTTCTGGGGAACTTTAATATTTAATTATTTTTTCTTATTTTAAGGGAGAGAGAAGGTAAGTGGCTGATTGATGGGGTATTGTAGGTCTGTTGGGTCTAGAAAAAACTTGGAGGTGATTGTTACATGAATAGTATAGATGAGTGCATGAGTCTGAGGTTTATCATAGGGCAAGTTCTAACAATATGTATGTTTATTAAGCTTCTCAAGAAGTATCTTTGTAATCTTAGATCTGCTGGTCCTTAAATAATCAGAGGGATTGCAGAAAAATTGTCCTTTGAGAAACTGCATTTATCCTAATCTCCCTCTGTCCCTCCTAAACAGTGAACTGTAACCCTGGATCTAGCCTTTCAGTGTTGTGGTTTACCCTGCTCAGAAAGCTTTTTGTCAGAAGTCTTCCTTCATTTAAAGTTTTTGTAACCTATGTATTTGACGCTTTCAAGTCCGAAATGTCTCGATCCCACCAGCAGACCCTTCATTAAAAGTTAAAACAGCCCTTTTTTGGAGGAAAATGCTGAGAACCAAGATGATTGATTGTAAAGTTTGACTTGCTCCTTCTACTTGATAAGGCAGTAAAAGCTGTCTCTTTTTGTCCAGGGCAGTTTTTTCCTTGGAATTTGTAGTCGTTTGGATTTAGTCAGCGTGTTGTGCATTTCTTGACTTTAAGAACCAAGACATTAGCTTGCACAAAAACATTAGTGTGGTTCCTCTTTGTGGAAACTTAAAATCTTGATGCAGGAGACTGTGATATGTTCAAAACTCCTCTTAATATTCTGCAAGAAGCAATGGCAATGAAAGCTAAAGGTACAGATGCCAGAGATCAGCACTGTATGATTAGTTCTGCTTCTGGGTTGTTTTTAGGAAGTGAGAAATGAGGAACTGATGATAATTGGCACCCTTTGTGGGAGCTCTGAGTTTTTATCTGAGCAGGACAGAGCTAAGTGAAATTTGTTTAAAGTGAAATAGCACAATTTCTCCAGAAGCTGAAAAGAAGGTAAAAGCACCTGCTTTAACTCAAGCAGTTTTTGAACAAATTCCAGTATTTTTCTGACAAAGGTTTGGGCATAAACCAGATATTTGATCTTTACAGAGCAAAGTGAATGTTGTCCCTTTTTAGCACTGAAATAAAGCAGGACAAGCTGGACCCTTATGCCTGTTTGATAGTCTGTTGTTTGCATATTGATTACTTCTTTGGTTTTGTTCCTCCAAAGAATGAGCCTCAAAAGTACACAGCTGCATATATAAAGGGGAATTTTAATATTGGTACATTAAGACTTACTACCAGTTGAATTTTTGTGGACAGAAATAAAGGAAAAATAGAAGGGGAAATGAGCCATTTTAGCAGAGGATTGAATGAGACAGATTTCATGAATATGAATATTGTAAAAGCCTATTTAGGCATGTTATGCTCACCAGGCCTTTTAAATTTGTATACACTGCACTTAAGATTTTTTTTATATTATTATTTTAAATCTTTTTTAATTGCAAATATTAATCTGACAGAGTGTGGATGCTGGCAATCATTTTTTTCCACTTTCAGATAACTGGGATGGGGCAGGGAAAGCAGCATTCACCTCAGAAATTGAAGCTTTAGAAATGAACAGGATGTTTAAACAAACATTTCTGTTGAGAACAAGGTGGTATATGAAGGTCCAGGTAATGGTATTTGCTGCTGGGAAATGTTCTGCATGTTGTAGGTTTAAAAAAGAATGAAAAGTGCTCATTTTCCTGTTGAGCCAAGGAAGATTCAGGGTAGAACTCATCAGGAGCACATGCTAGAAGCCAATTTTTTCTAATTTAGAGTAGTGAAGGTATTTTTCTTTTTTTACTTTTCTATCCCTTCTCCACTGTTTTGAAGAAAAGTGGAAGAAATATTTATAATGAATTCAGAATACAATGTAGCTTTTTAAGGATACTATTTAAAAAATTAGCTTTCATGTATGCTAGGTA